CTTCTGCTTAATAAAGATATAAATCTTCTTGAAAAGAATCAAAAGCAATAGAAAAAAACCTTGATCTGTTCTCAGAATCCTTTGGAAGACCTGAGGGGAAATAACGAAAGCCTAGAACAATATCTCCATAACAAAGACGTTCATCAAAACCAGCTCGCCAACTCTCTTCAACCGCTTTTCGTGTTAATAACCGCCTTAAAAAAATAAAAATTCAGAGCAGAAATTGACTTCAGCATCAATTTTCCTCCTCAGGACTAAGTTAGTTAAACTACTTAAAATCATCTTGATGCACTCCAAAATGGTGGTCGTAATGTGAACAGTTCTTGATAACAGTTGGACAAAATGAGCTGACAATCGTCTAGCACCTGCGGGATGTAAATACTTATCCGCAATTGTATACATGTTAATTGAAAATTCTCCGGGACCTTTTAGTGGTTCTTCAATCCCAGTCAAAAAAACGAACATATCCCAGCATTTGAGAATCGTCCCTTGTAATTTGACTGTCCTGTGAAGTGGTGGCATCCGTTGCTTTAACAGTCAGTGGCCTCGCTCGCACAATTACGTTCAAATATTTGCAACTATCTTCACTGAGATCAAAATGCAGCGACTGATCCCAAAGAACATCCTGCAAAAGAAATAACATTACTTAAACTTGCATCAGTAAAATCAGTAAAGCTGTTCTATTATTAGAAGTAACGCACAGCTACTATTAGTACAAGTTGGAAAGCCATATAACTAAACCCTGCTTAACTCTTATTGGCCAGCAGTTTAAACGGCTTTATTTTCACTATTACCATGTGACATTTTTACAAGTGATTGGAGATTCTAGGAAAAAATATACATCAACAGAACATGATTGTTGCTAAATACGCAATCATTCCACCTTGCTCGACTTCTCTTTGAGACAAGCATTTCACAATCTTTTGAAGTTCATTCAATAGTAGAGCTACTATTCACTATTCACTATCCAAATCATCTCCTAGAGTTTTAAACTAAAGACATCCTATAACTTTAAAGGACCTACATTCTTCACAAAAATATGAAGAAATAAACACGAAACCATTAGCAGTTTAATTTGCGAGTAGATAGAAAGTAATGATATGACAGACTAAAGAGTAATCCTTCATATAAAATGAATACATATATCCAAAAAATGAACCATCGCTTAATATCTACAAAAGCGCTGCATTGAGCAACTGAGCAACCCATGTCATAAATGAACAACTACCTCGCTTCAAAATAGCGTAAAAGATCTAGACAGAAGTCGAATTTTCCTACGTAATTCAACTTGCATTACGGTATAAAAATAATAGATAGAAACAGCCAAAGTAAGATGAAACATATGTACTACAAGTTTCAAGTAATTACGCCATATTCATCATTAAAAACATTAAAAATAACTTAGCCCGCAAACAGTACAGGTTCAAGCATGATATATACAATATGTAGTCCTATCAGCTCTAAAAGATCGAAGAGCTACAGCAATATTAATAAAATGAATTCTCAACTAAAAACGAACTTCGCTCATCGCAAGTGACTTTGTGACTAGTGTTTTTGGAGGAACATTCCACAAATCATTTCCATCATTTTGCGTGGGAATTGATCTGGAATATGATGGATGAATTCTGAGCTAAACTATAAAAGTTATATGAAAAAGAATATTCGAATCTACTGACCTTTTTGTCTTGCATAAAGGATTTCTCTTTTTGTTCTCTAAGGCTGACGTAGGAAGTGAAGTACGTGGAAGCACCTGAGAAAAAAAAGAGTCATTTATAAAGATCATCCCCGTAACTGCTTCTTAATATATAAAATATAGGTTAAGAACTGCGGGAACGTCGGAAAAGAGTGCAATCACCTTCCCATATATTGTGTATCGGTCATACGACACCATTTTGTAGAACTTATCACAATAGGATATTCAAGTTGCAATCTGACAGCAATCTAACCAAATAGGTGTATCCCCAATTTGGTTAAATATTTCGAAATAAATATTTTGCATAAATTTACAATATCCAATGGATATCACAGCCATTATTATGCTTTACTCAAATTACAGAAAAGGCTTGTTCACTAACAAAATACATGTAATTGAAATTAAGCAGTTTACCACCTCAATATCATGCTGTGATAACGCATCCACCCCAACTTCATCACCAGAACCAGCATCCTTATGCCGGTACCAAAGGTCGGACATTCTAGCTTTTCCTGCTGCCGCCATCTCTGCTGCTCGAGCCTTAAACTCCAAAAGTAACATGAATTGACTATTAACTAGATATTTTCCAAGAAGCCATAATCAACTATTACCTGAAATCGTTGTCTTCGAGAACTTCGCAGAAAATCTTTTGTACGATTTTCACAAACATCAGCATTGAAAATGCCAATGCTACTATCTTTCTTTGCACTTACTGCATGTAACATAACACAATCTTCAGCCATATTCGTTAGCGTTCTTTTAGTTTCCTGATATAACTAAGCAGAATCCAATAAAAGGAATAAGAAATATATTATCTTCATACATTATTTTGCACAACGCTGATCATTACAGTGAATTCATTCCCTGCTGTTGGCCCTCCAACTAGATCCTCCACTTTTAGTGATATAAATTATGAGTAAAATCAACTTCTGAAAAACTTTTTATAGACTAATCATTTTCTCTCGAAAGAATTCCGTACCTTATATGTATAGCAAGACAAATTTTCAAGACTAGAGGTGAATAACGGCCTCAGCCTTTCGCTGTTAAAACAAACACCTTCTGTTATTTCAGCTTCAGACCTTCAAGCATCATAAATTAATGGAACAAATTACGAATACTCTAAAACTCCAATATAATTTCAAGTTTAAATTAAAAGTTTACATTCACAGTACAATCCAAATGGAAAAACTGCAGTTTCCTATTGCTGCAAAGTAAGAGTTTTGTGAACTTACTTTGAGCGCTTAATACGGCCATGTTCCCTCAGATTACAATCATGCTCAGTTTCAGACTGTGCAAATTTCATCAGACCAGAATGTTCCAACATTTTCGAAAAATCAATAAAATTGCCATCTGCGCATAAATGGAGCTTTCTCTTGTCTTTCAAAACGTTTGCCGTAAAGTTATTTGAAGTTACATTCGGATTAACTGCTGTTGAAATTCGATTACGCTGATGATTACCTAAAAGCGATTTGTGCCAGGAAATTTTCAGTACTAAGCTGCATTACAAAACGTCTGAAAACAATGTGGCAAAAAATGTCTGAACAAATACCTTTCTCCAACATTTTCATTTGCCCACTTTTATGCTTTACATTTTCAGCGACCTCAGGAACAACGATATCATCGAAATCGCCAAGAGAAGTACCTTCTAAAAATTAGAAATCAAATTCTTCATGAACGAAAATGTGGAAAAGAAACTTCAATTGTCAATTTCCGCTAGCTTCAAAATAACAGAGAACAGTTTCCTAAGAGTCAATCAAAAAAATTAAGAATATAAAATAAAATGAGTAGATTCATAAACAAAAATTAATTTAATGACTGGGAAACTTTCTGACCGCTTCCTTGTTACTTTTCTTATTCTTTAGTAAAGTATTTGAGAAAAAAAAGATTTTTTAGGATTAAGAAATATAACAAAACACGGAACTTAAAGGCAAAATAAAAAGATTTTATGAAAAAGATGTCATAATGTTATATTCTGTTATTATTCTTAATAACAGCGCTATCGTAAAAGGAAAAAATTAACCGTCATTATTGCTGTACTTTTCACAAATCAGTCGATCAACTAAGACATTCAATTCACTGAAAGTACCGGAAAGTAGTTTGTTCAGTTGACGTTCACTCGTAACTGGAACGTTATTTACAGCAAGGACAACGTCACCTTAAATTAACACATTCTGCATCATAAGAAATGAAATAAAATGATTTTGTGAAAAAAAAAAAATAATTAATGCCTGTACCTGCTTTAAAACCACATCTTTCAGCGGAGGGAAAAGCTTTCCACAGTTGAAACTTGTACGGATCTGACTCCGGTGTTGGAAATAAGCTAAAAAAAAAAAAAAAAAAAAAAAAAAAAAAAAAAAAAAAAAATGTTCAGAATTGGTGATAACAAAAACGAATGGAGGAATAAACTATGCAAAAAGTATTAGATTGAACACGGAATTATTCGAAGTCTCCAAGATTTTCAGAACCAAAATCACTCTAGCTCTCAATAAAGATGTATCGAGCATTGAAAATATTGTAAATATCATTCACTAATAAAGGCTGAATTCTAAAAGAAAGTTTAGGAAGCTCAACAATAATTAAAAAAGGTAAAACAGCATGACGCGGTGGGATATTTGCGAAAATACTCTCCATAAATTTCCTGAGCAGAATCAGAACGTAAAATCGGAACGATATTCAATATGATTTTCAAAAGTAAACTACGAAGAATACAAAGTTACTATCAACTTTCTTTTTAAAAATTATTGTAAAGCTGACTAAACACTATCAGAAAAAAAAAAAGCACTACACGGAAACTATTACCACTGAAATCAATCTGCCCACAAATGACTCCAATTTCTTTGAGTATACTTCCTTATGTATACAAATATGTGCTTGCAGCAATCTATCAAGTTAAAGCTTGTGCGAATCTCTGTCCAACATATTGCATTCATCAACAATAACACTAACAAAACTCGATGAACACTAACAAGTAGCCGAAAAATTCTAAATTTCCACCATACATATATTGTTTCTAGTATTTCAAAATTTCGACCACAACTACGAAGAAAAAAATTCCTTTTCCTTTTCCCTGTTCATAACAACATCTATATGTCCAAATACTGATTTTCTGTTCAAAAAATAGTCGGCAAAATGGAAAATAATACAGATCAGAAATTAAACCGAAAAAAAAAGAAATAATTACCTGAAAAAACATATAAAAAGTAAATAACAAGTACTCTAATAATAATATCACTTATGAATCTAATACCTTATCATTAGGATTTCCTCCTACTCACAACTAGTGAAAAAAAGCGTAAAGCGAAAACTTTTAGAATGAATTTACTTTCGAAAATGTCAACCCAATCGACTCACTGGTACCGTGCCGATTAAAATTTAATAATACGGTAATGCATCGCGTTGAATTTTTGCTTGCATCTTCCATTAGCGGTCGATGATCTGTTTAATAAGTGTATATATATATATCAGATTTAAGTTATTTTCCAAATTGTTGGCATATTTTATTTTCTTGGATCAGCAAAAAGAATACAGAAACAGTTCCACATCCCTAATTATGAAAAGTTTGCACTGATTCTTTTTTAAATTAAATTATTTACGAAACATCGTATTTTATCTAAAGACAAATAACGCAAAATCAATAATGAAGTCAATTTACCTATAGATACAACACAGAAAACCTCTGAATTTCCGTTATTCACTAAAGCGGTGTTCAGTCTTGTACATCGTAAAACCGTAACTTCTAACAAACCCGATGTTTTAATATATTCAAAAGAATCTGAAAACAGATCATTTCTCTAAAAAAATATAGATCGAAAAAAAAAATACACAGTATAAATAAATAGCTGCTACAATATTGCTATTAAGAAAACAATGGCAATAAATACAAATATTTTATGATGCTTTTTGCACAAGTTCATTTAACTCCGTTAATTTTTTTTTTTAAACTCTACTGTACAGGCACATAATTTAACTAAATATATCGGTCTAAACCCTCAGTGTTATCTTAACAATCTTCTGCCTGTAGGTTTTGAAGATTGTCTAATCGTTATTCATCGCCATGATAGCATTTCTGACTGTAAAACATTTGGATATCGCCTATATAAGTTACATGTAGATGGAGAAGGCTGATATAAGGGATTAGGAAATAGAGGACGATATCGAATCTTGTAGTTCGGCCAAACATGCTTGCGTTGAACCATACGTCTAAATTTCTGTGTGATGAAAGGTATGAGATGTTTTACTTGCTTGTCTTGCCACTGTGAGTCAATCTGAAAAACAGCACTGCGCTTTGCCGATTTAACGAATTGTCAATTCGCAATTCTCTTACAATTTTGTGCATTATCACTATCACATATGAAAAAAAAAAAAAAAAAAAAAAAAAAAGAAAAACGCAAAATGCCACTACGAAATGAAAAAATTAAAAAACTAAAGAACTGTATCACAGATCTCACTTGGAATTCCAGCGTTGGCATATCAACAAATGCAAAGACCCAATGAGTAAAAGGCTCACGAGTCAGTTTCAACCTGATTTTTCCAGAAAGACGAGTGAGCTAAATGAATTAATAAATAAAAAATTACATGGATATACAATGATGGTCCAAAGTCACTTCGAAACATTTCTTGATAACCAGAAAATGAAATGAAACTCCTGATGGACAAATAAATAAAATGAAAACCTTGATTGACAGTTGCGCAAATCGGCCAAACAGCATACTAACATCAACAGAACTTTGAAAACCCCGCTATAATCTATATCAGCAAGCAATTTTAATGTGTGGAAAAGAAACATTTCCTAATATATTTCTGTTTCGCTTTTTTCTATTTCTAACATATATCTTAAACTCGAAAAGTGTAATTTTAGAACTGACAAAAGACTAACCGAACTCAATATATGATATATATAATAGTAACTCGTCATCTAGCAAACGTCAGCTTATTTTGCATTTAAATTGCCTCTCGGAATATGAGACATAACATTTAACAATGAAGTGAAAATACTTTGAAATTTTCATCTTGCGACAGTTCATAGTCTTCCACACGTAATGATTTGATCACTGGGGATCTGCAGCCAATCGATAGATTCCTAATACGAATATCCTAAAACAGAAATGTTTTAAAGAGGAGAAAAAAAAATGCTTTCCAAAGATTATAAGTTGGCATCAATGGATCGAAAACTTTATCTAGTCTGCATTTCAGAACAGCTATTTCAACATTCTCCACCGTAAATATATATAGCATTGCAAAAACTTCATAATTCTCGCAAATTTCATTCACCTGGAGATTAGGAAGTCTTTGATTGAAGGTGATTTTTTTTACTACGGAGTGGTCAGAAATGCAGTGGAACTGGTGATATTGTGATAGATGGCGCAGATCCTAGAGCTGCGAGAAAGGATTAATAGCAAGATCCAGAGATAAATCTAATGTACTTGTACTATTCTATAAATCATTTGCAGAATTGAAATAGACCTGTATGAGACGACCAGCAGTATTTCGAATGGTTAGATCATTAAGCTCCAACTGAAGCTTTCTGTGGATCCACCTGTAAGATATTAAAACGCGTGACAATTAACTGCATCCATAAGGAATATAATTAAACTTTGAATTGAAGTCGAAACTAAAATACCTTCGTAATCGACGAGTATCCCTGTGTTCTTGGAATAGAAAATGAAGAATAAGACTCAGATTGAAGCATGATTCCCACTCAGAAACTCGGCTTTCATCATTCCCTTCCTTCAGGAACTGTCTCAGTTCCTGAAAGACACATTCTTAAATAAAGAAAGCAATGTACACTATTCTACTCCCCTTTAGAGCTGGAAAAAATTACCTCAGGAAGGCGAAGTGGCTGAAATCGGTCAATTATTATGGCGTGTGAAGAGATTTCACCGAAAGGATTGAATAGCAATATATAAATGACAAAAAGCATTAAAACTGCGCCAAAAAAGACGCCCCATAAGAATCCTAACATTTACATCAATGATAGTATCGCCACCATACAATATTCAATCAACTTCTTGAGCTATTTCTCTAGCATTAGCTGAAAAAAGTTATTATTAAAATTTACTGAGAAAATGTGTTATCTCTCGGCACCATGTCAACAAATGTCGCTGTAACTTTTTTATTTATCAGAGACTACAAATCGGAAGGAGCCTACATATATGAAACTATATGTTATAGTTAAACCATCACGACTTCTATGCGATCACCAGCAATGTGGCATTTACGTTGTCTCACACAATACTCTCACCTACCTCATCCATTCACAGTAGAGGGGATGGAAATTTTACTTCTCAAATCCTTTTAGCTTGAAGTTTCGTAACACCCAGAGATTAAGAACAAACGTGAACTGAGTTACTGCTGAACGACCTCCGCACCAAATAATATTAATGAGCATGGCAAAGTTTACATACTACAAAATACCAGTCATTTACCTAAAGCTCAAGGTAGCACATGACATAGTTCAGAGGTCTTTCTAAAGGACGGTGTGAAGAAGAAAGTATCTCATACCCAAACATGCTGCAATGGTTAGAATTAAAGACTTGTATTTCGATCAGCAGAAGATTAATTTTAAAGTGAGCAGAATTACTACCCAAATAGTCTGTAATATATATATATATATATATATCTTCCCTACTTTTTTTTCTATATCTGTTATATCTTTCGTATATCTGCAAAGAGCAGCGCTACTTCCTTGCCAGCAGTTCCTAAAAAACCCAAGATGAAACTGTAATGTTCTTATGATATAGATCTTGGTTTTTTTTTCCTTCTACCGCACGCCGCCTATGTAGTTTTCTCACGTATCTTGATGTCAAAGTCCTGCACAGTAAACAAAATGTTGTTCTCACTGTGTAAAACACATGCAGTAAGCAATCTGCAGACCATCACACTACTACTTGTACTAGACTAAATTGAGCTCAGTTGCTACTTTATTAATTATAGCAGGTCGCACAAGAAGACTGGAATACTTCCGAAAACTTGCCGAATTCACGTCTTTTTCATATGATTAGACAAAGCACATACTTCAGTCTGAAAAAAGCATATGATTTAATAACAGTATCTACTGGACCACATCAGTTACTGATATACATATTTTATAGTGAAAGCAACATATTGACTATCAGCATGTGTTAAGAGACTAATGTAAAATCCTCAGCCTTAAGTGCACTTTGTTATGTACAAAACAAAGACATCAATCTCATATGTCGCATATTGAATGTGAACTCCGATAAGATCACTTATGTGCTTCTGGATATATAGAGAACGAAAAGAGACAGGAAGGACAGCAGTCTCGCATACTTTTATTCTTTGTAAAAAATGCGTAAACACACAAGATTAAAATAATCTCAAATATATGCGAAATCAACGAGGTCATCACTGCTAAACCAGTTGCAATGACATTACTTAGCGAAGCATGGTGAAAATGAAGTCAGTGGCAGTGTAAACCATCTTCCCCATACCACATATTTCTGGGTATCATCACAAGAAATGGTGCCTACCTATTCTGGCAAAACCATGATCTTAAAAATATCTCTGCTGAAGAGACTTCATGCAGAAAAAATGGGAGAAAAAAAAAGTTTATGAGGCTTTATTTGTCCATTAACATTAAATGTAAGAAGAAATTTATAGTTCTGCATAATCAGCCTTTTGGACTTCTATATGAGAAAAGTGAAAAAAGACTTCCAACATCTATGGGCATATATTAGGAACATTGAAATGTTAAACGAGGCGTAACACCTTCACTACTTTAAGCGGAAATAAGGAATTCAATTAATTTAAAAATTTCATCCCAAAATGTGGCAACATTATTCAGAAAACCTGAGGATAAATATATTATACAAACTCCACAAAATGCACTTACTTTACATATAACGCACAAAAAGTTTGTACTGTACAACTTCAAATATCATTATCTACAGTTCGGCCATAATAATCTTTGTTGATAGCTGCAAAGAATTAAAAACGCAATAGGTTATCGCCAATGAAAATGAAAACAAACCAAAACACGAATCATCACCAAAACCCTCAAGCATATTCGCAAAAATAAAATATTCTATTTGCTGCATAAATATGCTATAAATAAAGTTAACGTTTAGGATTCCATGACAAAGAAAACCGGATAAGGAAACCATCAACTATATATCAGCTTCGAATACATCTGTGCGCGAAGTACAAACAAGATACTCCTTGAACTTCATAAAACTCTTTCTCTTCAGATATTCCAGGTACAATACTCTCAGCTAATTCTCAAATACTACAACTGCACTTCTGTCTTCCACAGGATAACAGTAAATGTGAGAAATTTATAGTTCTGCACATTAATGCCACTAGAGTGACTACACCCTAATTCCTTGGGAAAACAAAAACTCTACTGGATACAATCTGCACTTACACAAGTATGCTGTCACGAAAACTAACATATTCACAGACACCCATCCTTCGGCAGCGTATTCATTAAGAAATCCACATAATCCAAAAGTTATAAAATGACCAGAGAGAATGAACAATAAACAATATGAGCTGGGCAACTATTATCGAGAAAACGCTCCTTAAAATGATTATGTTAATGGCAATTGTAATACCATTAAATTTCTTTCTCGAATCACCACATTATTTTTCAATTCATTGATCATACCAGCAGCAAATATTCACTTCCTAGATTAAGTGGTTCTAGAACAAAGCATACATCGCAATGCCCAACAGTGATCATGAACATGTAGTGATAAGCAATTATAAACGAAGCAATCATGAACTGCGATAGAAAAAAGTTTCATAAACAAAGCGCACCTGACAAGATATTTGATTTAGCAAGCAAACGACAATATGCAGTGCATTATTTGCAGCGAAACCCTGCAGAAATAAGTAAATGACTGCTTATCTCAATGCTATAAAAATGTTTAAACCTTCAATTTAGTTATGTGAAGATGTTCGACTGACTCACAACTACAGCAGTCCCATTATAATAGGTTTCAGTCTAATCAGAGCGACCTGCAACAGTGAATATAACTTGCGAGCCTAACTACTTTTACATAAAGACATCAGATGAAAGAAACGACAAGCACAAGCTACCGGCAATGCTCCAACAAAATCAGAGACAATATGGTTCTGATGAGCATGAATAGTGTTCATAAGGAAAGCAACCATACTCTTTATTTCTTTAAAAAAAAAAAAAAAAAAAAAAAAAAGAAAACTCTACAAAGTTACAAAAGTAAGTGATTTGAAGTACTGGTCCTGATCAAACCATGTGTAGTTTCCTCTCTTGTTTGAACAGTGATCGTCTGTAAAAAAGGTTCCAACCGTACACTTAATCTGTTTCCTGCGCATGAGCTTTCAGCACTATATTTAGTCTCCAGATCAATTTTTGGAGGACAAGAGCTGGATCTCTCATCACTCTCACTACCAGCTCTTGCAGGAGAAGACTCCTCCAACGACATTGTTCTAACGCCAACATTGCAATAAATTTCTTCCTGATTTGTTACACTTTCTCCTGAATCCGAGCTGCTTGATGCAGCTGAACTGTGGTAATGTTCCGAAAGCTGACGAAATATATCATCATCTTTATCGTAATACATTTCTGCACCAGGGAATATATTTTTGTTTGGTACTATCTATAAAAGTCAATACATAATGAAAGTATAGTAAGGACACGCATTTCTGTAAACAAGCCGTGTTACTAATTTTATATCTGTATTGGTACCAGTTCAGATTATTCCCACAAGAGAAGAAAAACAATTTTCGGCATCATCAAAATGTTAAGACACTTCTATTCTTTCTTTAAAAAATTTTTTAAAGCATTTTTAGCACCAAAAACTAAGATTTCTCATACCTTCTAGAGAGATTATGGCTTTGATTTTGAACAATTTCTGAAGCCAGATAAGTTTGCAGTAAATCCGAAATCTCATCTTCCTACTTTTCTCACTTATAAGTCAAATTATTTACAAAAAAAAAACTACTAAAAAAATGTTAAGATGTATTTCTTTACATGAACAAAAGGCAGATTTAAAAATGTAAAAAATGGTGAAGTACGAGAACTCACAAAAAGATAACCATCAACAGGAAGTTTCGATCCCACACTAATATATCGTGCATCCCACATTGATGGCATTCCTTCTTTCAATCGTGCTCGCTTAACTGTTGGTTGATCCAGCAACTTCTAAAAAGAATGAGCAGCATTATTCGGAAGCTGAAATATGATGAAAAGAAAACCATTATGCTTGTGGAAGAGAGTATTTTTTAAACTTAAAATGACGAAAATGTGTTAATAACAAATACCTATACCATATATGATACCAAATGAATAAAAGTAAATTTAGTATGAACCTTGAACTGAATTTCGTTAATGGCCTTTCGAAGAGCTGTCTTCTCGTAAATCTCTTCGATTGCGGCAGGATCACTGGAGTTTGTTTTAAATCGACCTTTAAAAAAGTGCTTTCTTTAGATCTTCATAAATAAGGAATTTACTTAAAATGTTACGTGAAAGATCTAAATTTTACCTTTTCTGAAAATATCGGTATAAGGAGGACCCAAAACCAAAGCTAATTGAGCCACAATGTCATCGCAATTACCCAGCAATTCAATATCAGTAGCATAATGAGGTAAAGATTCACGATTGATAAGTATCTGTGGAACTTCAGGATTAATATTGTAAGGCAAAAGTGCAACTGGTTGCACTTTCAAAGATGAACCGATAACTACAACCAAATCCACCTGAAAAATCAACCCTCGTAATACCAAATGAAAATATTTAATAAAAGATCCTACTTAAGTTCTCTTTGAATGTGTGAACTATAGAACTCGTAAAAATTTATAAAATTTATTATGTTAGTCTACTATCAGCTCTTTCTACTTAAGATAAAAAGAAACTGCACACCATTTCTCTGTCCTCAGCCATTTTTTCATGGAAATCATCCGAGAGATCTTCACCGAAAAAAACTATGTCAGGTTTCATGACTCCTTCTGGATGACTACACACACGACACATAGCAACACGCTGTAAATACTATGGATTGTACTGAAACACTTCATAAAAATAACAATAACAAAGGGAAGACATTTTTCATAATAAAGCTATATATCATAAATATAATTTTCTTTCAATGACATACAAATTTAAACCTAACATTTCAAATGTTTTTTTTTTTTCGTTTTTTTAAAAAAAAATAAGGGAAAAGAGAAACTCTATTTAAAAGTACCCCTGAATCAATGTCTTCTCGAATTGCTTCGCTATCGACTTTTAAACCACAGTTCCGACAAGTGGCAGTTGCAAACGATCCTAAATAAGCGAAAATTATCAACAACAGATCAGAAAACTGTAATAGTTTCAGCAGAATCTCCATGAAATGCTACTAAATAAACAATCGGTTTCACTGTGTAAGATGTTAGAACAAATACCTTTGATACTTAATATTTAGACTTATAAAACACCGAAGAGCTTTCACAATATATGCAACGACGCTGAGACGCACTTAATGCTGTATGAAACTTATTACAAAACTAATATACCATGACACTGTACAATGCGCTTGATTCCAGCTACTTGCTCCAAAGTATCAATATTTTGAGTGTAATTCCTCAGCAGTTTCCCACTGTCTTCGAGTGCCTTGATGAAGTAATGGCACATCGAAGCTTCATAGCGACCGGGGAATAATTCCTTGAATACGATTCAATCAATGTTCAAATCTCTTCAGAAGACATAAGGCCGGCGGTGTGAGACCAAATTCGAGAACAAAAACTGAAGCACCATACAATTTTACGGGTTGCCTGAGAAGTACGAAAACAACAAAAACTAATTGAAGGAAAGAATAAGATAGTACCCTCGCAAATTCGAAAAATGGTTTCGGATTTTTACTGAAGTAATTGATATCAAACATAGCAGTTGGATCAGGAAGATCAGGATACTCTACGTGAAGCCGCGCGTATACACCATTTCTACTCCGGAAATCTGGTATACCACAGGATACAGAAACGCCAGCGCCAGTCAACACCAGGATGCGGCTACACCTGGAAACAGCAAAAATTTGTTTTCCTTCCGTAATAATAAAATATTTCAACGAGAATTTGTCAAATTTCCCAAAATTATTGTACGTGAAATAACCTTTTAAAAAGTTCAACTGCATCATCAAATGAATTGAATTCTGATAATTTTGTGCGTTTAGGTCGTTCACTGTATAAAATCTTTTGAATAATGCGATATAAATCTTGCTCACAAAGATTTTCCGGTAGATTAACATGCGGTAACAGGCAACGAACAACATCTCTTGCCGATTCACCTAAAGTGAATTAACGTAGTATATTTCCTAAGCATATAACAGAACTGAGCTAAACAGTTAATGTTAAGGACACTTACCACAGTCAGTGATAAATACTAAAGGGATCGTTTTAACGTTAAAAATTCATGGCCCTATACGACGATGTACAATTGAGTTTGTAACAACCTGTAACCAGCATGAAAAAAAGTTTCACTTTTTTAATTCAGTAGATAAGGTACCTAATTTTCACCAAAAAAAAGACGAAATTGGATTCGATAGAGTGTAGACCACTAATAAAAAAATTCTGAAAGATAGAATGCATATTCACAGCCCAGTGGTATCATAAAACTGCTTACATGTATAGATATAAAAACAACGAATGTCAAATGAAATAATACTTCCGAACCTTGCCTAAATCAAGCGTTATGTGTAAGCACGAACCGAGACTAGACAGAAAAAGTAATTTATAGTCAAGTGACACAATAAAACAGAAATTTTTTGGTACAATTGAACTCCAAACTATGTTAGTATAGGTTTTTCATAAACTAAATCTGTCAACAAAATGAGTGATTCCAAAAATTCAACACTGGAAGATTCTAGCACATTTTGGTATCCACGAAGGGGATACAATTTTATGCATCAAACGTATATAACAATCATTTCAAAGCGAAAAGAGGCTTGGAGAAGTGGATGAACTGTTTGTTGAGTTCTTCTCACAGTATCAGAACTGAACGAGACTGAAGGATTAAAGATACATTACGGATTTAACCTTTTACAAGCACTATAACAAAATGCAGTTAGCAAGTGGTAAAAGACCGTATTCTTGACAAAACTGGCTTTCAGTACGCAGTCATTTATTGCTCATATTTCCATATTAATGAGATATAATAGAAAATAGAAACTTTTCACTATTTACAGCAAGGTCAGCATCAATGTAATTCATGTTGTAAATATTCTAAAAAATATATGAAGCTTAATTCAAGTCACTAATTAAAAAGCTGAAGTAAAATACGAGAGTGCTAACGAAAACATTTAAGATCCCTTAGGTGCACCGAGCAGTGTGAGGAGTGACAAACAGGGACGGATACAACTTTCATACATTTCTAAAAGAAATTGGATTCAAATACCAAATTCAGCCAACAAAAAACTCAAATAATTCAGAAATTGAATGAAATTATGTAATTACGGGGGTACAAAAATATTTCATTTGAAGGGTGAGATTTACAAAAGCAGTATACAGCAGATCAAGTTACGTAAAAATAAAATAATAAGCACTCAGCCTTTATTAAAAAAAAAAAAAGCTTATGCAACGGAACACTGATTTTTAATCCTAATTCCGTTTTCAAAAATACACAAGATTTGGAAAAAGTCCAAACGGGCTTAATTATCGGCGTGCATAGACAAACATATCAGAAAAGCAAGAAAAAATTGGCTTAAAAACGAAGAAAATTAAATATGTGCTCACTTTCACCGCTTACTTCGTCGACAGCAGATATATCACCAGAATCTGTTAATCCCTGCATTTGGACAGCAGAATTGGCCATGGATGAAGAATTTGTAACGGAACTGGCATATGTATCGGTTTCGGTCCCCATATTGCCGTCTAGTATGATGTTTTCACCTAAACCAAATTTCATCAGCTTCACTTTACAAATGCTTATTTCAGCGACAGTGTAGGATTTTAACTTATTTTGGATCTCAATCAATTCAACTTGTACTGATCGCGACGTTGAAAAGAACCAAGCAGTATCATCTGCAGATGTTCTGCAACGATTGGAAAACACACAATAGTACTAATAAAACCTACTTCTCAGCTCATTTCCGCAACCACCTGAATGCATGAATATAACACGAAATGACAGATTAACCTGAAAAGACATCTAAGAATGCATGCATACGGTGAACGAAGAAAATTCGTCAGTCATATCTAACAAGGTAAAATTAGCACACAACTCATACCTTATTAAACAATCTTCGCCGTAGAGTATGAACTTCAAAAAGTATATAGCCTATTTAAAAAGAACAACTTCATGCGACATCATGCCCGTAGTACTGAGCACAAAACTCAAAACTGTAGAGCTTGTCTTCACTACTTTTTTCAGTTTGTCATATTTTTATAATGTCATTTGATATCTGTAGTGAATATCATACAGTTATTTCCTTTTCTCCCGCCCACATTAACCTCTTCTCAAGCATAGCCGAAACCTCCTCTTACCTAAAAGTGAACGTATTAAAACTGGTGTATTCACGGCCCGTTATATTTCTTCAACGGGTGCCTTGGGTAGGTTCGGCATCGAGGAAGGTTCGGTGATGCTCATTTCCAACATTTTCAGACTGATGGCCAACTTCAATTTATGGACGGATGAAATATTGTTGGATCGAGTGATATATTATCAAGTATTATTATTCCATTTCGACAACTGGCTTCCCTTACCGTCATCGTGAAAAAATTCATTTTCATAACTATTATAGAGATCTGCATCTGCAGTTAGCTTTTTAATTTTGTAAATCAGTTCCTCTTAGATTCTGCCTCATGTAGTCTGTTTCGAATTAGTCGTATCAGTCAGCACATTATTGTTGTACTTGTCGCTGCGGTTCTTCGTATTTTTCTCGGGAAATTTTATTATTAACTAGGGGAATTTTGAATGATAGTTTTGTACGTATTTTAACATGAATACATGTAAAAATCATCCTGAAAGATGTGTTGGTGTATCTGAAAGTTTATAGACCCTTATTATGTGTTACAAATATTAATGAACATTTCACATAGTTCATTAGTAATCCTGACACTTTAAAATCCAATCCTCTGACTGCTAGCTGCTTATGACATCTCATAAATTTTGTATATTCCTATAAGTCTTTACGTGGTTCACAAGTGTCTGTTATACTGTTCCTTACTGAAGTTCTAAAGTCGCTCAACCACTTATCGAAATTTAACATGATCGCTTCTTTTCCTTAATGTTGTCGCAGTTGTATAATTGGACATGTAAATTCATATTTCTGAAACTTACTCTAATTCCATTAATGAAAATATACTCTTCATGATCTGCATTACAAAACCTGACGTAGCAATCGTTAGAAGCTCTCAAAATTCTGGTACAGTCTGTGCTCAGTTTTTTTTTTATGGAATTCTTTCACACACTTGAATGAGTTTATTCAAAATTTTGATATGAATAAGATACAAGGGTTCAATTATAAATAGTGCTTTATTGGAAAGGCTTTATCTCATGAAATCAGTAATTCTTCGTTATACTTGTCTTCATCACATACACATTGATATTTTCTTCCATCGTCATGCTTCCTCTCATTAGCGTTCCGATTACCCTCCATTCACGATCACAATGTTTATTGGATAAATTGTTCGACAAATTTCCATAAGATTACGGCTTAAGTCAATAGTAGTAATTTGAGTAATAAAGATAACAAGCATCGCTTGAGTAGTTCAGTAAAATAATTTAGCTACAATCGCGTTCTATTATTTGCCGTTATATCCCAAGAAAAGTATATACACTTTATAATGGCAATGTGCTCTCCGTATTTTGATGTGACTCTGTTTGGAATCTTTATCTAACAATATGTCTGGCGTTGTTAATGGAAACATTGGAAAGAGTGGAAGACCCGTAAGTTATCGAAGGTTAATGGTTAATTCAGAGTTTGTCGATTGGACATTACGTATGCACTTTAAGGTTTCAAAAATTATATTGAGAAACTGTGATAACCAGGAATGAACACGGAGCAATGAATCATAAGTGATACTTCAATTTACAAGGCTCTAAATGCATAACTGTGTTGCCTGTGTGCAAAGTCGTCCACTACACTGATTACAGCATAATTTAAATACAGGATTTCGAAAATTTCGAGAAATTTTCTTGTTTCTACTCCGTAATTTACTTTAAGGGTAGCACATAACCATAAGATGAAGGATTTTATTTGAACGACAGTTCATGAACTCTGTTTCTCAAAATTATTAAAGACCGAAAGATCCAGAAGTGCAGGTTAACATCACTGACTTCATGGTACAACTTTTGAACTGCAAAGCTTCACGATTGAAGAACTTATGAAATATGACCTCAAGTGACAGCGTCCAGCCAGTCATTTTGGCAGAGTTGCATTAAGTACAGCAATGTACAATCCAGATAAGTTCTTCCCTATAAGCATTTTAGTAAAAAAGAATTGAAAGTGATCAAAAAATACAAATAAACTGATCTCGATGAAAATGAACATTGTCCTTTCGTCCCTTTATTTTCAAGTATTACTTATAATTCTTTCTTTGAAGAAGTTACCCTTTGCAAAACTCCGTAATGAACATTTTCCAATTTTACACAGAATAATTCAAAATACTTGCAAACTTGGGCGTTTTGTTATAACACTTAACAGATGTTACAACATATTTGCATTGCAGAAAGACTACATTCAAAATATTTATGGTACTGCCCAAAATAATCGGCACCTGTATTCAGTTGTTCTCACAGAACTTTCATTTGTACATTCAAAATTACAATAAAATATAACAAATATTGAACCATTCCTAAACAACAGAGGAAGCACTTTGTGGCATGTAAAGTTTCTGAAACTTCAGAAAGTATTTAGAACTTCAAAATCTATTAAGAATCATTTTTCTTTCTTGAAGCATTTGATAGCGTTAACATTTCTTCGTTTGATGGACAGAAATCATCTTCAATTTCTTCAATTGTTTCTGGTAATGGTTTACCCATTGTTTCTGGTATACAAAATATTACGATTAAACCGGCTATTAGTGAAAGACTACCAAACGGAACGATCATGGCCCATGTTCCAAACTGCTCCACCTGTAAAAAGGAAAAAGTTTCTAGAATATTGAAAACGAGCGTCATTTGACTTCTAAGCCAGTATTGCGCTTCGTGAGTACACTATTCTTATAAATGAAAGAGGAAAAAAATTCTCTGTACTCAGTGAAATATTTTGTTTAAACGGTAGTACATGAGAAGCAAAGCACCGCTGCAATTCGAGTGATTTAGCCAATAAACGAGATTCTGCAACTCCTGTATCAACGTGAGTATAAAGTGGATTAAATGAAGAGTGAATTTTGTAGAAAACATACAATCCACATGACAATATAGCAAGACAGGTTGGCACCAACACGAGCAATCATCGAACAGCATCCCATAGCCGAATTACGAATCACTGTAGGATATAATTCCGGAGTAACAGTGTAAATTACTGCATAGCAGCTAGTTATAGAAGCTTTTGCGATTAAAAATTGTAGGACACTAATAATCCAATGCACTGAAATAATTCTTAACATGAACGGATTATACTAGTCTAACATGAATAAAAAAGGTGTGGCAAGTAACACTGTGGTTTTAAGAGCTGTTACGACATAGAGATTGCTATGCTGCGGATGCAGCATAAATGTTGCAGTGGACGGCTGAATATTCCTAATAATCCATTATATGAATAGTCGCATTTGATAACCGCAATGGTACTTACAGAAGATAGTTGATCAAAATCTGATAAATATGTATTGAAAACTGAAGAAACTTGATGTTTTTTTAGAGACTGTACCTTCTGAGGGGAGAAGGAGGTTAGAAAGCATGCATAAGGCAGCAAGAAAGTATCCTCCGGCAAAAAGTGGCTTCCGGCCTATTCTGTCGATAAATGCAAACAGCAACAAAAGAGCTGGTATTTCGGCTACACCACCGCTAATAAATGTTCCGTAAAAATCACCACCGAGAAAATCAGTTTTCATAGAAACACCATAATAAATCATAGACACAACCTATGAAATATTAAACAAGTAAAAAGAAATTGTTCACACACTGTCCTAATCAGTTTTTCAAATTGAGTAACTTGGAGAAAACTGAACAGTCTATTAAATAGTGTATGAAAATTTCTAGAACTAAGTCTCACTGGCCATAAGAAAAGACATGCAAATGTACGCAATCGTATGCGCGGTGTTCGAACAAGATCAAGATAGTTATATTTCCTTTGCGGAGAACGGTTCTGTGCGGTCTTTTCCGGGAAATCGATTTGATCCCACCACTTTTCTGGTAAGCGTGATCCATTAATTTTTGCCGCACGTTGCAAGATTTTATCGGCTTCTTCATACTTATGCTGTGTTACAAGCCATCGTGCGCTTTCAGGAACAATCCTGAATTTACGAAAAATATATAAATAAATAGATAAATAAAATAAATAAATATTTTAAAAAGTAAAGAATTTCTTTGGATGTCTCAGCCAACTCCTTTTGAGTTTGAGTAAACGTACACGCGTACGTTTGGTTACCTTCATGGGAGATTGGATGGCAGAAGCGCAGCTATATTGAAAAATATATATAACTTCAATCGGAAGGCATAACGGAAGAAGAAATAATTAAATAGGATCTACACTATGAAGGAGTATGGAAATCTAAAAGTCGTCTAGAAAACTCAGAATTAGATGAACAAAGTTTACACATTCCACATATCTTCCTAGATTTAATCGTATAACACAAGTTATATATATATAAGGGTATAGCTGCAGTCTTCCGTTCTCTACCTTTGCCTTCTACAAAGAACTTTAGAGATATGCATTCTATACTCACCACCAATAACACATAAATATCAGTGCAGGCAATGAAATGACGAGCTGCAGATATCGATAATCGCGAATGAAATATGCAAGGCATCCCAGAATGATTTGACCAAATGAAAAAAATATCCCTGATATTACTGAAGCAACTTTTCTTTTTGAAGGACCGACCAGTTCCATACCTATAACAAGTAACGCTACCGAAAACGGGAGATGTAAAGTAACATACGAGTGACATAACATACCAATTACAACAGCAATAACGAAAATCCCAGGATGTGCAAATCCTACA